TAATAGTGGTCTTATACAATATTTGTCCTTCTGTGACTGACTAAATTCACTCAGCATAATGCCCTCCAGATTCCTCCATGTTATGTTTCACGGCTTCATCGTTGTTCTTTATCGTTGCGTAGTATTCCATTATGTGGATATACCATAATTTGTTTATCCATTTGTCTGTTGATGGGCACCTAGGTTGTTTCCGCCTTTTTGCTACTGTGAACAGTGCTGCAATGAACATGGGTGTGTGTATATCTATTCATGTGACAGCTCTTATTTCTCTAGGATATATTCCAAAGAGTGGGATAGCTGGATCATATGGTACTTCTATTTTCTAGTTTTTTAAGGAAGTGCCAAATCGATTTCCAAAGTGGTTGTACCATTTTACATTGCCACCAACAGTGTATAAGTGTTCCAGTCTCTCCACAGCCTCTCCAGCATTTATTATTTTGTGTTTATTTGGATTAATGCTAGCCTTGTTGGGGTGAGATGATACCTCATTGTAGTTTTGATCTGCATTTCTCTAATGGCTAATGATTGTGAGCATTTCTTCATGTGTCGGTTAGCCACCTGAATATCTTCTTTGGAGAAGTGCCTGTTCATATCCTTTGACCATTTTTTAATTGGGTTATTTGTCTTTTTGTTGTTGAAGTTTTACAGTATCTTGTAGATTTTAGAGATTAGATGCTGATCGGATTTTTTGTAGCCAAAAATTTTTTCCCAGTCTGTAGGTTGTCTTTTGACTCTTTTGGTGAAGTCTTTTGATGAGCATAAATGTTTGATTTTTTAGGAGCTCCCAGTTATCTAGTCTCTCTTCTGGTGTTTGTGCATTGTTACTTACGGTTCATATTCTGTTTATGCCATGTATTAGGGCTCCTAGCGTCGTCCCTATGTTTTCTTCCATGATCTTCATCGTTTTCGATTTTATATGTAAGTCTTTGATCCATTTTGAGTTAGTTTTTGTGCATGGTGTGAGGTATGGGTCTTGTTTCAGTTTTTTGCATATGGGTATCCACTTATGCCAGCACCATTTGTTAAAGAAACTGTCTTTTCCCCAATTAACGGACTTTGGACCATTGTCAAATATCAGCTGCTCCTAGGTAGATGAATTTATGTCTGTATTCTCAGTTCTGTTCCATTGGTCTATGTATCGGTTGTTGTACCAGTACCAGGCTGTTTTGACTACCGTGGCGGTTTAATAGGTTCTAAAATCAGGTAGTGTGAGGCTTCCCACTTTGTTCTTCTTCTTGAGTAATGCTTTACTTATTCGGGGCCTCTTCCCTTTCCATATGAAGTTGGTGATTTGTTTTCTCCATTTCCTTAAAAAATGCTGGTGGAATCTGGATCGGGATTGCATAGTATCTGTAGATCGCTTTGGGTAGAATTGACATTTTCACCGTGTTGAGTCTTCGTATCCATGAGCAAGTATGTTTTTCCATCAAGTCTTTTGCCCATGTTTTGATTGAGTTATTTTTCTTTTTACTGTTAAGTTGTAGAGGTATTTTGTATATTTTGAATATTAGATCCTTGTCAGATATATGCTTCCCCCAAATTTTCTCCCTATCTATAGGTTGTCTTTTCAATTTTGATGAAGTTCTTTAATTCTTATGAGGTCCCATTTATCTGTTTTGTCTTTTGCTGCTCGTGCTTTTGTTGTCATATCTCTACTGCTGTATTTTTTAGTTCACTGATCTTTTCTGCAGCATCTTATCTGCTATTGATTTTATCCAGCATATTTTTCATTTAAGATATTGTATTTTTTATTTCTAGAAGTTACAGTTAGGTCTTTTTTATATCTGTTTTCTCTTCTTGTGTTTATATTTTCCTTTTATTCTGGATCATATTTATAATATTTACAGTAATGTTGTAATTCCTTGTTTGCTAATTGTATTATTTCTATCATTTTTGGGTCTGTTTCTCTTGATTGATTTTTCTCCTGATCCTGGGTCTTATTTTCCTGCCTCTTTGCATGCCTGATAATTTCTTATTGGATGCCAGTCATTGTGAAATATACATTATTGATTGCTGGGTTTGTTTTTCTTTAAAGAGTCTTGGACTTTGTTCTGTTGTGTAATTAAGTTTCTTGCAGATCAATTTGTTCCTTTTGCGACTTGTTTATTTGCTTTATTAGGGTGACTTCAGATCAGCTTTTACCCTAGGGCTAATATATAATTCAGCGTCACTACTAAGGTGTACCCTTTTTGAGGTCCTCGTTTATTATGAGAGCTCTTCCCTATCCCTGTGTGAGCTCTGGGATTTGTTCATGTTCTGATTTCTGATGGTTCTTTCCCTACCCTCATGGAGTTTCACTCCATATTAGTACTCAGCCAAAGACTTGAGAGGCCTTCTCTCTAGGTCTCTGGAGCTCTCTCTCTTTGTGGAGCTTTTTCTTTTCTAGTTCTCTGTTCTATAAATTTTTACTGCCTTGGCCACCTTGGACTCTGAACTCTGTCTCCTTAACTCAGTACAACTGCCAGGTTCTCTCTGGGTTCCTCTTACCTATGCTGTAGGTTACCTTTTTTGAATTCCCTCTCTCAGGAATCACATTTCTGAATTGCCTGTTGTCCAGTGTCTGAAAACAGTTCTCTCATATATTTTATGATTTTCTAGTAACTTGTTTACAGCATGATGTTCCTTTGATGTTCTATTTTGTTCTGTTCCGAATCTTTTCCTTTTTTTTTTTTTTTTTTGTAAATTTTGGCTTCAGGGTCTTCTCTTGTATTTTTTAATGCTTCTTTTATCAGTTTAATTTTAGTATATATTTACTGTCTTATAGTTGTATTATATGAGGCTCTTGGGGGTCTCATCTGCTATTGTGCCTGATGATTGTCACTCATTGTGAATTGTAATTTAAGATTGTGATGTCATCTTTTGTGAGTCTTTGAGTTCAAGATATATCCTCCCAGCAGGGCTTTATATTTTTTTCTACCAAGCTTGGAGGAGATGGAGGATCACCTTTATAAAATTTTTCTTTTTATCATTTTTTAAGGCTTTTTATGATACATGCTCTGTGTAACACATATAAATAGGGGAGAGTATAAAATATGAATGTAAAATGCCTTTTCTTGTTTGTAACATGAGATTAGAGAGGGGTATAAGAGACATTGATTAATCATTGATGCTGATGGGAAAATATACGATCATACACGTTCACGTGGTGACTACAGTTAAACTTGTCTCATCCACCTTCTCTTTTCCATGATTGAAGAATGACTTGTTAGTCATTATAGAGAATACAGTTGTACATGATGCTTTTCATTTTTTAGTTAATGCAGAATGATTTAGACTAGGCGGTGTATAATCTCTTAACAAAAGGCCAGGGTTATTAGTTTCTAAGAAATGGAGTCTGTGTGTTAAGAAGAGAATTATGATTTCTTATTAGATCAAATTAAGTCTTAAGAATGAAGATTAATCTTGAGAGTAGTGAGATAAGTTGGCTTTCAGATACTTTGGGAGAAGATCAAGCACAGTCTAAATTGTCCCCCAGTTGTTTCCCAAATGAACAGAGGTCTTCCTTATGTACTACCTGCGTAAGCTAGTACACCCCAAGTTCAGATGAAATGCCTACCACCTGAAGGCCAGCAGTATCCTGTCAAGCCTTTGGCATTCATTGGAGGTCTAAGGCTGTGAAATTTTTAAGACACAAGACCACCATATTGCTCAAATAATTGGATGCTATTTTGCCTTCATCTTACTTAGGCTTTCCACATCATTCAGAACTGCTAATCTCTTCATCATTTTGGTATACTCACCCCTTTCTGCCTTCTAGATACCACACTTTCCTGGCTTTCCTCTTATCTTTCTTGTTGCTTCTCACTTTCTCCAGATCATACAGGTGGTGTAAATTTGAAATACAATCTTGCATAAGGGCAGGCTCATGGTTATAGACTATAAGGGAAGACTTTTCCCTTTAGGCCAGAGCCCAGATTACCATAGACAATCCTTTTTTCATATACCTATGTAGGTCCACTCTTTATTGAGGAGTAATCCTTTGACAGTCTTGGCCTTATATGGGAAGTCTCAATTGTGATTTCTAGCCCTCACCTTCTGTCTTTGAATGGCTGTTAAAACCCAGTTGTCTTGCCCCTACAAGTCAGTGATGGCCTAGCTCTAGTTTGGTTCTCTCTTTGCTTTTTGACCCCAGCAAGTAAAGTCACATATTTAAAGGATGTTAGCTATATTTCAGCCATCATTTCTAGATATTTTGTAGCAGGAGGGTTATTAGGTTATCTAGTTTGCCATTTTATCTGAAAAGGAAATCACTGTTGTTTATTATTTTATTGTTTGGGGAGGAAAGAAAAAAACTACCCATAATTCAACTATCCTAACATAACAGTAGTCTTCACGTTTTGTCCATGTACAGATATGTTTAAATCATTGCAGTCTCTGTTCTTTCTTGGAGTGCAAAGAATCATTTAGCCGTTTATTATATATATTACTTTAATTTTTATATCTTCTTTTGTTTCTAGAACAATATAGCTGAAGTGCAAGAATTGCATTCTGAATTAATGTGGAAGGATTTCATAGACCACATCAGTAGCCTTCTACACAGTGTTGAAGTGGAAGTCAGTTACTTTGCAGCTGGAATTATTGCCCATTTAATATCCAGAGGTGAACAAGCCTGGACATTGAGCCACAGCCAGAGGAATTCTCTTCTGGATGATCTGGTAGGATCATTTGATATTTTCTGGAAACAAACTAAAATCATTCATAGTGGTCAAACTATCAGAGCTTCATAATGTAATAGTCCAGTGCTAAATAAATATTATAAACTTTTTTGTGTGTATCTTGTGTCTTGTAGCATTCAGCTATTTTGAAATGGCCAACTCCAGAGTGTGAGATGGTAGCATACAGGTAATTATCATGATAATTAATATTAACTCAGCAATGTAGTCATTTGCTTCCCTAGAGATCATTTCTACTAGATGTGTAGTTTTTCCCTTAGTCATCTATCTTGGAACTTGTTTTAAAAGAAGCAAAGTGTTTTGACTTTATTGTGCCACCTGTCATTCAGCAGTACTTTCTTCATTCTACATTTATTGAATAAATATTTTATGCTTTTGAAATTCAAAGATGAATGTGGCATGGTGCCTGCACATGAGAATCATACAGTCTAGTGAGGTAGACCAAGTGTGAATCAGGTATAAGTTGCTGTTATGCTAGATATGTGCTATGAAATTAAAGATGAAAGCACTTAAATCTACACTGGGAAATCACAAAAAGCTTCTAAAGCAGGTGAGCTAGATTTTGAAAGATTAATTAAGTAGGGGCAGGAAATTTTAGGAGAGGAAACAATGTGTCAGTGCAAAGTGGTATAAAACAACATGACACATTGAAGGAACTAGAAGTAGCATCAGATTAATTTGGGGAAACAGGTTGCAGTCATTTACTGTAGTGTATACTGTATGCTTAACTATAACAATTTGGTAACTTGATAGCTATGTTATTAATTACCTGAAATTATCGAGTTTGCTGCATAAATAATTTTATTACAGTTTATATTTGTGGTCTGCTTGGTAAATGGTGATGCTACTAACATCTTTGACTTCCCTAACTTATATTTCACCCATTTTTGTGCAGAAGACCAGTAGAAATAGAAAAGTTAATTCTAGACCCACTTGATGGTGTTCTACCAGTTATTGACTGACTTCTCCTTTTCTTAGTTTCCAAACCAAGATCTCTTATTCACAAACATTTATCTTCACGATCAAAAACGTGCTTTTGAAAAAATTATTTTTGTCTTTTAATACCTTATTCTGGCAGCCTTTCATCTTCTGTTCCAAGACTTAGGTCTGAATACACTCCTTTTTGAAATGGCTGAGACAAAAGAAAAGATGTTCCATAGCTCATTATATTACTCTAGAAATTGTTGTTGTTTGCCATCGAGTCAATTACGACTCATAGTGACCCTATATGACAGAGGATGAAATTTCTAGAACGTAAATTTTAGGACTCGTTGCTTTAGAAAATGACAGTAAGTATAGGATGTAATTTGGATTACTTTTCTTTGACTCTTTAGGTCCTTCAATCCATTTTTCCCATTACTTGGCTGTTTCACAACACCAGGAGTCCAGCTGTGGGCAGTTTGGGCCATGCAACATGTCTGTAGCAAGAATCGTATGTACCAGAAAAAAGAGCTGTTTTTCTTTTTCAAGTGAAATTTTCCTTTCAGTTACCCTTTAATCTTTGGAAATACACCTTCTAAATTGTGTATTGAAATGATTTTTAAGGATACATACTTTTAAAAATACCATGTAAGAGGATCTTAGGTTATAAATGAAATTTATTCTTTCAGAATGATACTAAATGACAGTGGTGAATGAGACTTACAATGTCCTAACTTCATGGAATTTAAAGATTAGGAGCCTGCAGTGAGTCCGTTTAGTTGGGCAAAAGGTCCTAGGGAGATCCAGTGCTTATGGTACATTCCACTGCCCTATCTTCATTTATCAAAACTTTCGTTGTTAAAAAAAACCCAAAAACTTTCATTGTTAGTTCAAGACATTGCTTTCAACACCTGCTCTGGAGAAGGAAAGCATTTATATTAGGTTCCAGATCATTCTTTTTAGAAGGTTGTGATGCAACTCTTTGTCAATTATTTATTAAATATAAACTCATTCCACAAATGATCTGGGATGTTGATCAAGAAACAGAGTAAAATAATAAGGTATAAATTTAAAAATAAAAAAATCTGGACTGAGGAAAAATAATTAGAAAAAGAATTAAGGGAGGGAGGGAAAATAGTTAAATGTAGACATGTAGGCCCTACATAGAGATTCACAGACTTTTTATAGCTGGGCTGGAAGTAATCAACTACATGGTTTACACTTTTATAAGAAGGGGAAAAAAAATTTCCTCGGGGCGACAAGAAAGCTTTTTTGAGCAGTTACTACAAACTAAATTTTTATATAGGACACTATTGTTGTTGTTAGGTGCTGCAAGTCAGTTCAGACTCATAGCAACCCTATAGGACAGAGTAGAGCTGCCCCTTAGGGTTTCCAAGGAGCAGGCGGTAGATTTGAACTGTCAACCTTTTGGTTAGCAGCCAATCTCTTAACCACTATGCCACCAGGGCTCCATATAGCACATTAGTAAGGGACATATTATTGAAGGTCTTACAGAGGAGATGTGAGAGTTATTTGTTAACAATATCCTTATAGCAGAGGCAGTAACAGTTTGTAAGATTATTTCTTGTTGCATTCTTTGTTGAAAACCTAATGAGTACCACCAAAAGACAGCTCAGTAAAAGCTCTTCTGTGTCAGATAGGCAAGAAGGAGAGTTTAAACAATGGTAAGTAACAGAGAAAACTGCTTTGTACCCACCTAAACACCTATCTGGAGGCTTCTCTGGCTTCTCCCACAAAATTCTCCAGAAGCAGAGTTGTTCATTCCTAAACTTAAGAATGCCTCACTAGCTGCCTTAAACTGTCTCTGTTCTGAAAGTTTTCCCCTTTTACTGGACCTACAGGTTCTGAGATCTCCCCAGTTTCTTAAAAGCCTATCCCATCTTATTCCTATCCCTTAGACCCAGCCTCTGACCTCTAGAATGGATCATAACTCAAAGTATGGAGAAAATAAAATACAATAAGTAAATAATGGTGCGATTTTTAATATAAATGTCTATTTTTGTGACTACTTTTAGATGTTAGTGTTTTTCCAAGTTTACTTTATAGAAGGATAGCCCAGAAGAGTTTATTCTAAAATGCAGTGAGATTTGGAGAATGTTAGAATATTTTATTTCCAACCCAACTAGTTCAAATTCCTACCTTCTTTCTTTCCTGTATAGTATGTTTTTGTTTAAAATGGAATTTACTTCTCAGTTTGTATTAAAATGTCTTAATTGTGCACCACCACTTACTATCTATGCCACCTTCAGCAGATTCTTAAGCCTGGGGCTTTAGTTTTCACATCTGTTTAATGAGAATAATAATAGTATCTACTACACACATTATAATGAGCATTTTTCCATACTTTAAAAAGTTTTTGACGACATGATTTGTAATGATCACATTATCTTTATTGTATGGCTCTACATTTATTAAATGAGTTTATTAGCAGTTTATATAACTACTCCCCTATTGATAACATTAGTAGTCTACCTTTTAAATTTAAAATTATATTCAAAAGTTTGTTTTCACAGAGATATTCATGGTTAATGTTATTTATAATAGCAATTACAGAGGTCTAGCAATAGAGAAATGTTAAATATTGAAATAGCCAGACAGTGAAATACTGGCATGTGATTTATAAGTGAAGGGGCATAATAGAAAAGTATATAAGCAGGAACTTCTACTCTGGGCCATGACAGAGTAACCAATACCAGACTAGCCCTCCAGCCATAAACAACCAGAAAACGGGGGAAAATATGAAACAACTCTTTCTACATATTGGAGAGAAGGGCAACAAGAATTTTTATCACCCCAATAGATGCAAAAAAGCATTTAACAAAATCCAACATCCAGTCCTGACAAAGGGCATCTAAGGAAAACCTATACCTAACATCAGAATTAATAGCGAAAAACTAAATGAGAATGCTTTCCCCATAAGCTCAGAAACAAGGCAAGGATGTCTGGTCTCACTATTCAGCATTGTAACAGTTCTACAGAATGCTCCTTAAAAGTCAGGGTGGTAACAGGGGACATCTAGGTCAATTGGCATAACATAGTTCGTAAAGACAGTGTTCTACATCCTTCTTCGGTGAGTAGCATCTGGGGTCTTAAAAGCCTGTGAGTGGCCATCTAACATACATCTACTGGTACCATCCCGTCTGGAGCAAAGGAGAATGAAGAAAACCAAAAACACAAGGAAAATATTAGTCCAAAGGACTAATGGACTACATGAACCACAGCACCCACCAGCCTGAGCCCAGAAGAACTAGATGGTGCCCAGCTACCACCAGTGACCACTCTGACAAGGATCACAATAGAGGGTCCCAGACAGAGCGGGAGAAAATGTAGAACAAAATTCAAATTCACAAAAAAATATCCAGACTTACTAGTCTGACAGAGACTGGAGGAACCCTTGAGACTATGGCCCCCGGACACCTTGTTGACTCAGAACTGAAGCTACCCCTGAAGTCCCGTTTCAGCCAAAGATGAGATAGGGCTATGTCTTAGGTTGGGTTCTCTAGAGAAGCAAAACAAGTAAAGCATATAAATATATATATATATAGAGAGATTTATATCAAGGAAACAGCTCACACGATTGTAGAGGCTGAAACGTCCCAAGTCCGTGGATCAGGATAGAGGCTTCTCCTGATTCACATAGCCGCGGGGGCTGGCGAACCCAAGATCGGCAGGTCAGAGAGCAGGGCTCTTGCTCACAGGCTGTGAAGGTTGACAAATCCAGAGATCGGCAGGCAAGACCACAAGGCTTCTCCTGATTCACATAGCTGCAGGGGCTGGCAAACCCAAGATTGACAGGTCAGAGAGCAGGATTCTTGCTCACAGGCTGTGAAGATCGATGAATCCCAAGATTGGCAGGTAAGCTGCTAGCTCAAGTCCCAAGAACCAGAGGTCAGATGAACAACAGGCAGCTACAGGATCCAGAACAAGCCAAAAACCTTAGCAAGGCGAGCAGGAAGGAAGTAGGTGGCAGAGGATGGAGAGATGAAGGCTGAGGGGGCGGTGAACCGCCACAGGCCCTGTGCCTGCCGGTACCACCCAGCAGATTCCATCATGGGGGTGATCACATATCAGATTTCAACAGGGAAGTGATCACAACATTATACAACTGTCAAAACACTGAGAGTCATGGCCCAGCCAAGTTGACGCACAGTCTTAACCATCACAGGCTATAAAACAAACAACACAGGTAAGGAACATGCTTCTTAGTTCAGTCAAGTATAGGAGACCAAATGGACAACTTCTGCCCAAAGACGGAAGGCAGGAAGGCACCAGAAAATTGGATGAATGGACGCGGAGAACCTGGGGTGTAAAGCGAAAGGGGGAGAGTGCTGACACATTGTCGGGATTGCAACTAATGTCACAAAACAATTTGTGTATAAATTTTCGAATGAGAAACTTAATTTATGCTTTAAATTCACCTAAAGCACAATAAAATTACAAAAAAAATTACAGGTGGGTGGAAAAGTTAGGGTGGCTCGCTTACTTTGGATGCACCATCAAGAAAGACCAATTGCTAGAAAAGAACATCATGTTTGGTAAAGTAGAGGGTCAGCAAAAAAGAGGGAAATCTTCAGTGAGATGGACTGACACAATAGTCACAACAATAGGCTCAAACATACCAACAATCATAAAGATGGTACTGAACCAGGCAATGTTTCATTCTGTTACACATAACATGGCCATGAATTGGAGCCGACTTGATGACAGCTAACAAACAACAACAATGGCTCTAGGCAAGTATGATTGAGAAAGAAATAGAAGACATTCAGATTGGAAATAACTTAAGTAAACTGTTTTTATTCCCAGATGGCATAATCATCTATGTAGGCAATCCCATGGAATTTACAAAATGGCAGTAATTAATAAGTAATCTAGAACAGTAATAATTGAGTTTAGCAAGGTTCCAGAATACAAGACCAGCATACACAAATCAGTTACATGTCTGTATACTAGCAACAACCAATGTAAATGAAAAAAAATGACATTTACAATTGCGTCAAAACTATGAAAAACTACTAGGGCAAAGCCATAGAAGCTTCACAAACACACCCAAATGCCCTGAGGGACTGAGCTACTGGGCTGAGGGCTGGGGGCCATGGTTTCAGGGGACATGTAGCTCAGTTGGCATAACACAGCCTATAAAGAAAATGTTCTACATCTGACTGTGGTGAGTAGCATCTGGGTTCTCAAAAGCCTGTGAGCGGCCATTTAAGATACATCTACTGGTCCCATCCTGGCTGGAGCAAAGGAGAATGAAGAAAACCAAAGACACAAGGGAAAGATTAGTCCAAAGGACTAATGGACCACAATTACCACAACCTCCACCAGACTGAGCCCAGAACAACTAAAGGGTGCCTGGTTACCACCACTGACTGCTCTGGCAGGGATCACAATAGTGGGTCCCGGACAGAGCAGGAGAAGAATGTAGAACAAAATTCCAACTCAAAAATAAATACAGACCATACTTACTGGTCTGACAGAGACTGGAGA